GAGCTAGTTTGACTAATGCTCTATCCCGTAGACCGCCAATGATTTGATTTCTCTCGGCGTAGTATCCTCTTATAGGTGAGGTGAGAGTTTGCCGAAAATAGCCGAAACTTTGCATGCGCTTTTCTCGAAAGCCAGGGCTCGTGGGCAAAAACTAAATACAGCATCGAATTCCTCATGTCCGATAGGCGTTTGCATCTCATCGCCGTTTAAAAATCGTCTTTGAAACGTTCCCTTCTCACTCCAACTTGAAACTTGATTTTTATCTTTAATTTCTTTTCAAATCTATCTTGGGTATCGAAAAAATTTCACTATTTACTGTTCAAATTAAACTGTTGCAGCTTTGGAGGCAGCTTTACAGGCAGCTTTACAGGCAGCTTTACAGGCAGCTTTACAGGCAGCTTTACAGGCAGCTTTACAGGCAGCTTTACAGGCAGCTTTACAGGCAGCTTTGCAGGGCTAAAAGCAGGGCGAAAAAAAGAGGAAACGAACCTGGGAGCAAAAATTCTGGCAAGATTGATGGCTTGGTTTTTGAGAAATCTTTTGAGGAATCACTGTGCAAACTTTTTCTGGGGAACTTTCTTTCCAATCTAATAGTTATTAGGGGTATTTTTAATGCTATTGTTTTCAAAATTCTTTCACAATAACCATCAAGAGATTCACAAGAAAGCGCGCTTTTTCACTGTGAAATTTTCAAAAAAAAAACACCAAGCTAATCTTGTGAGATTGAAAGATGAGAAAACCCTTAAAAACCTGAGAATTTTCAAGATTATATTCTCTTATATATTCTGTTCTATATTCTGTTCTATATTCTCTTTTTATCCCAAAAACCAAATCAAAAGCAATGGGATAAGAAAAATGATTTGATTCCCAAGTTTTTCACGAAAAATTTTGATGAATTTGGTGGGGATTTTTTGATTTTAAGAAAGGCTCATTTTAGATTCAAAGCCTCTTATTGGCTGAATAACAAATTTATTTATTTATATTTAATTTCGATAGCTTTATAAATCAGCTTTAGAAAGATTTGGCATAACTTTTTTGATGTATTGGGTTGGTGGAAAAGTCCTTTCGGATTTTTTGGGAGAGTACCTTAAATTTGTCGAAATTTGACGTTTTATAGCTCATTCTAAAGCTGAATTCAAGACGGGTCGATTGGTAAAAACCGTTTTGAGATATCTCTTTTCTAAAAAGCTTTTACAGCGATTTTAATAAAGGGCGGCAGAACCAAAAAATGGCTGTTTTCACGTTTCGTTAGTTTTCCGTGCAGAAACCTAGGCTAATAACATGTGTTTCGTGTACCGTGTACACGAACATGTACACGGTACACGGTAAACATGTACACGGTACACGAAACACATGTTTTTAACCTAGGTTTCTGCACGGAAAACTAACGAAACGTGAAAACAGCCATTTTTTGGCTCTGCCGCCCTTTACTAAAATAGCTGTAAAAACTTTAAAAAAAGAGATATCTCAAAACGGTTTTTACCAATCGATCCGTCTTGAATTCAGCTTTAGGATGAGCTATAAAACGTCAAAATTGGACAAATTTAAGGTACTCTCCCAAAAAATCGGAAAGGACTTTTCCATCAACCCAATATTTGAATACCTTATTTGAAATCTGTTCGGATACTTTACTTTACTTTAGTAATACTTTAGTAATACTTTAGAAGATAGACTATACAACAATACAATTATGATAGAAGATTAGAGCTCTATCCCAGAATCGAGCTGAAAATGAAAAATGAGCAAAAATGAACAAAAATAAACCCAAAAATGAACAATATATAACTATCGTATTCTCTCTAATAGTAGTGCACCCCGGCGAGCCGAGTTGATGACGATTTTACAGCTTTCAAAGTTTCCACAGAAGCTCAACACTCTAATCCTCCACTAGATCTCATCGTCAGCTACATTTTCCGACCCCACATCGATAGGTTCTGATAAGCGGTTCTCGAGATTTCGAGGAATTTAGACGACGCCCAGGGTGCACTACTATTAGAGAAAATACGGTATTCAAATCCAAATCTGTCTTTGTTACACTTCAATTTTTGCTGTTATTTAAACTTTTATTGTGCAGATTCAACTACCGCATTTTCTCTAATAGTAGTGCACCCTGGCGAGCCGAGTTGGTGACTATTTTAAGGGTTTCCAAGCTTTCGCAGAAGCTCAACACTCAAATCCCCCACTAGATCTGATCGTCAGCTACATTTTCCGACCCCACATCGATAGGTTCTGACAAGCGGTTCTCGAGATTTCGAGGAATTTAGACGAAGCTTAGGGTGCACTACTATTCGACGTTACGGTATATATTTACAGGCAACACTCGGACTCACAGTCAGTCAATTTATCAGCTTTAAAAGCCTCACCTAGGCTTTAGTGCCATTGTTTTAATAAAAAAATAAATATCTTATTTTGAGTTTATGCTCAATCTCTCTGGTCTCTAAAGTCTTTATACTACTTACACTTAGCTTCTCGGTTTTCAGGATGCGAAAAAAATTATATAGATACCGTAATAATTCTAATAGAAGACCATGGTCTTCTAATTTTCAACCCCTTCCCCAAAGGGTCTTCTATTAGAGACTGGTCTTCTGTTAGAGACTGGTCTTCTATTAGAATTATTACGGTATATTAATAATAACGCTACAAATAATCGGTTTTTATCAAATAAAATTTACGGTAATTGATAATTTTTTGGTTCCACGGGCTTTTGTGTGAAAAAGCGCCTTGTCTTCAATGTGTTAAAGTCAAGGGTAATCATGTAATGTAAGCAAGTTTCAATTTTTACACAACCTCAGAGTCTTTAGGTCTCTCGTTTCAACATCGTTTCCGTGAAAATAGAAATCATACTTCAAAATATGGAAATCTTTTGAAGTATATTATAAAGAAAGTTTAAAAACTGAACATTTTCAAAAGACTTTCAACTTTTAATACTATCCTCTATATATCCTTTTATACATCCCAAACTTATCCTTTATATCCTTTTATATGTCGTAGCCGATTAAGGATTTCAGCCGAAGAAGTCTCAGACTTTTTCGGCTAGCCGATTAAGTCTCAAAAATGAAATCTTGAGTTATGTATTGACTCAAGTCAATACCACAAACTCAAGCTCTCTAAAAGGCGCTTAAAACCTAAAAACGCATTCTAAAGAGTGCGCATTTTATCATACTGTAACCAAAGGCTATGAAAGGGCCCTTTTCGCCATTTTCTATCTGATTCGTCATTTATTTGAAATAGAATTGTTTGTTTTTGTAAGTCAATTTGACTCCTTTGTTGGATCATCGATAAAACTTGTTCACCACTAATCTGTTTATAATCGAACATAACCCCATATTTCAATCCTATTTTTTCTTTTTGTTACTGTGCTCCTCGTTCTTGACGACTTTCTTGGGTTTGTCCAAATTGCCTTTGATCCCATGATTGTAAAGCACCTCTTGATTCAATTCGTATCGAAGAGAGAATCGCACTACAAGTTTTTAGTTTTTAAGCGCCTTTTAGAGAGCTTTTAGAGAGCGTTTTTAGTTTTTAAGCGCCTTTTTGAGAGCTTGAGTTTGTGGTATTGACTTGAGTCAATACATAGATTTCATTTTTGAGACTTAACCGAAGAAGTCTGAGACTTCTTCGGCTGAAATCCTTAATCGGCTACGACATATACATCCGCAAAAACCCAAGCACAACAACCCCCAGCATCAATCCTTTTATACATCCCAAAATTTGAATTTAAAAAAAAATCACACAAATCAAAGCCATAAATTCGGCAAGATAGCTGTCCAGATGATGGCCAACGTTTCCGGAAGTGTAGATCACAAGCATACAAGTGTAGAACAAGCATACAAGAGAATTAAAATGAGATAAAAGCAATTCAATCTCAAAAAAAGCAATTCAATCCAAGATTCAATCAAACACAAATGCCGTTTTTGCTAGTTCGATTCTGACCATAAATTCGGCAAAATAGCTGTCCAGATAATGGCTAACGGTTCCGGAAGTGTAGATTAGGATTGTTGTGCTTGGGGCTTTTGGGTGCTCCATAACAGTACCCAACTTTTTCAGAATGTCTTCATCAGCTTTATTTGCCAAATGGGATTGGGAGAGAAATGTGACACATTGGGCCGAGCATTGGTCGGATCAAGCGAAATACGAACAAGCGGTCATTGTTGAGGCCGAGAAGACGATCTGGGGACGGGTTGGTGAATGAAAGCGAGGCAAAACTATTGAAATGTCAAAAAAAATTATAAAGCTTATAGAATCTGATAGAATAAGTGCCTAAATTACTTCTGATAGAGAGCTTCATTTCTAAACTATTTATTGCTGCAATACCGTTTCAGCCGTTCACCAAAACAAGAATTTTCTGAAAGGAAACTCATCTTTCAATCTTTAAATCTTTCATCTTTCAGATCTTCAACTATTTCCATCCAATTTACTGGGATTATGTGCATCGGGAATGCCTTGAGTTGAACGGAACGTACCATCAATTCACAAATTACCCGCTTGGTGAGTTGTTTGATTGTAGGACATTTGATATGCGCCCGCCCCCTTCCTGCCATTGGCAATCTAACTTTAAGCTCAAATTTCTTGGTGTTGCGCTGTCCAATTTATAAATTATTGGTATCATTAGATGCGCCAAGTCTTTCTCTGTCGTTTGGTACAAAAACTATTTTGATTGAACAGCCGAACACCAAGATATTTGAGCTTAATTGTTACAAAGGATTTCAACGAGAGATGCCAGGTGGATTTAATCGATCTTCAATCCGTTCCCGATGGAGAATTCAAGTTTTTGATGGTCTACCAGGATCATTTCAAAAAATCGAAAAAGGTCGAAAAATGCAACTTGCAATGAAAAATGCAAAATGCAACCGCAACTAGAATGCGTTTTTAGGTTTTAAGCGCCTTTTAGAGAGCTTGAGTTTGTGGTATTGACTTGAGTCAATACATAACTCAAGATTTCATTTTTGAGACTTAATCGGCTAGCCGAAAAAGTCTGAGACTTAATCGGCTAGCCTAAGAAGTCTGAGACTTAATCGGCTAGCCTAAGAAGTCTGAGACTTAATCGGCTAGCCTAAGAAGTCTGAGACTTAATCGGCTAGCCGAAAAAGTCTGAGACTTAATCGGCTAGCCTAAGAAGTCTGAGACTTAATCGGCTAGCCGAAGAAGGTTTCGCTAGCCGAAAAAGTCTGAGACTTCTTCGGCTGAAATCCTTCATCGGCTACGACATATATATGTTACGTCCGAATCTGAGGAGACGTCCATCTCCGATCCGGACGTCCGAATCTGAGGAGATTCATTCTCCTCAGATTCGGACGTAACATATATATTTGGAAAATTTGAAACAAAGATGTTTTTAGACGATCTATCTAATTTCATTTGATTGTTGGACTTAAAAAATTAAGACAAATCTTTATAAGTAAATCGATTAGAGAGGCAGAGGCAGAGACATAAATAGAGGCAACATTCAAGAGCTGCTACGTTTTAGAGAACTTTAGAACAATTGAAAACTGAGGAACCCAATATTTTTTTCAGGATCCTGGTATCTTGCTTCGGGAATCACCTACGAGATCATTTACATCCCGGTTCTTTACATCATGACACACAAAGAATTCTTTCAGCACGCTTGCTACAAGATTATGTGAGGAATTCAGTTCAAATCATTTCCTTTATTACAAAGTTTTAAGTCTAAAAAAATTTCAAAGTTTATTGCTCTTCAGAGTTTAAATTTCAAAGTGTACTGATCAGCATTACTGATCATTCAATTCCTTCAAAATCATATTCACACGAAAAACCTGCCTCAATTCCATTTGAAGCTACAAAGATTGAAGTTTTTTCTTTAGCTATAAGTAAATAATCTTAAAATCAATCTTTTCTTTTCAGGTTCTTCATGGGTATCATGGATTGTATCAGCTTAGTCCCGAATGCTATTTTGGCTGGTTTGTTTGCTTAAAGAATAGTTTATTTTAACTTTCAATACTAATATCCGTTCATATTAGATTGAAATTGAAATATCCGGCTTTTCAGCTTTCAGCTTTACAGCTTTTGAGCTTTGAGCTTTGAGCTTTGAGCTTTTTCAGCTTTCAGCCTTCAGCTTTTGAGCTTTCAGCCTTCAGCCTTCAGCTTTCAGCTTTCAGCCTTCAGCTTTCAGCCTTCAGCCTTCAGCTTTCAGCTTTCAGCCTTCAGCTTTTGAGCTTTCAGCCTTCAGCCTTCAGCTTTCAGCTTTCAGCCTTCAGCTTTCAGCCTTCAGCCTTCAGCTTTCAGCTTTCAGCCTTCAGCTTTTGAGCTTTCAGCCTTCAGCCTTCAGCTTTCAGCTTTCAGCCTTCAGCTTTCAGCCTTCAGCCTTCAGCTTTCAGCTTTCAGCCTTCAGCTTTTGAGCTTTCAGCCTTCAGCCTTCAGCTTTCAGCCTTCAGCCTTCAGCTTTCAGCTTTCAGCCTTCAGCTTTTGAGCTTTCAGCCTTCAGCCTTCAGCTTTCAGCTTTCAGCCTTCAGCTTTCAGCCTTCAGCCTTCAGCTTTCAGCTTTCAGCCTTCAGCTTTTGAGCTTTCAGCCTTCAGCCTTCAGCTTTCAGCCTTCAGCCTTCAGCTTTCAGCTTTCAGCCTTCAGCTTTTGAGCTTTCAGCCTTCAGCCTTCAGCTTTCAGCCTTCAGCCTTCAGCTTTCAGCTTTCAGCCTTCAGCTTTTGAGCTTTCAGCCTTCAGCCTTCAGCTTTCAGCCTTCAGCCTTCAGCTTTCAGCTTTCAGCCTTCAGCTTTTGAGCTTTCAGCCTTCAGCCTTCAGCTTTCAGCCTTCAGCCTTCAGCTTTCAGCCTTCAGCCTTCAGCTTTCAGCCTTCAGCCTTCAGCCTTCAGCTTTCAGCCTTCAGCCTTCAGCTTTCAGCCTTCAGCCTTCAGCTTTCAGCTTTCAGCCTTCAGCTTTTCAGCTTTCAGCCTTCAGCCTTTCAGCTTTTCAGCTTTCAACTCTTTCTAGCTTTTTCAGCTTT